AGGGCTATGTTGAGGGTGTCAAAACTCAAGGACTGTAGTGGATTGTCAAGTGTAAAATTAATTACTAATTTAATTTAGAGAGAAGATTTGTTTGTTTGTTTATATCTAAATAACATAAAAAAAAAATAAAAATAAATAAATAAGTAATAAAAATAAGGATTGAGATCAGGGGAAGAAATACCCAGGGCTTGACTTCACCACGAATCTTGTAATATTGTCACTTGAGTTAACCTTAGGGATTTCATTATTTATGCATAATCAGGAATTAAATGAATTAACATTCTATTTAATTCAATTTTAAGAAGATAAATCATGAATGTTTGTTAAGCAATAACCTATCTTCGGTTAGTACAAATTATCTACCTATATTCAAAATTAATTTGCAGAATAATTCGTCTTCCCTAAGCATAAAATATCAAAATGTTCATTTATAAAAACGGTTTAAGCACAATTGCATGATCACTATTCTTATTACCATGAGAAGCCCTTAGTCGTTAATCTCAAACAATAAGAATAGTTTGGATTTGATTAACGAAAAATCAATTCTACGACAAGATATTAATTTTATCAAAAACTAAGTTTATTTCATTAAAATCCCATTTGCTTAGAAGATCTAACTCAATTACTTATAATTATGCAATCAAAATACATAAATACTGAAAATCCCCAAAATAAAGAATAATCAAACCATATTAATCGGATTCGGGTTACATCAATGCCCTAAGAGATGATTTAACTACTCATGAAGATGGAGAATATCATCTTTGTTGGTGTGGAAAACATCTTCATAGACTGCAACTCCTCTTCTTGGGATCTTCTTCTTCAATCTTCAAAGAGAACCCAATAACCCTAAAAGCTGCCGCTAGATCTGAACAATTGTAAGAGAATTTCTTTATGACTTTACACATTCTTTTATATAAGCAACTGACTTTTATCCCTTTTTGGATGGGCTTTAGGACTTTTGAGGTCATATAGGCCTGTCTAGAACTTAAAAGGATGGTTTTAAGATTAATCCCGCAGTTAAGGAAATTTCCTGAAGTAATAATGCTAGAGCACAAATTCTTGTGCTCGAGCTCTACAGCTTGTGCTCGAGAATAAATTCCATACTTAGCCAACTTTTCATCAATTATTTCCGAAGCGTCTTTTCCTCCAAGACTTAGCATTTTTTCCAATTTTCTTGGATTTGTGCTCGAGCATAAATTCTTGTGCTCGAGCATTGGAAGCTTGTGTTCGAGCATTTTGGCCAGTGCTTGAGCTCTGGGACCTGGAACTTCTGAGATGTCTTTTCTCTCTATCCCACACTTTCTTCGATACACTTTCACTCTCTGAAGCCTACCATAACCTCACCTTCTCGATGACAAGCTCAAGACCCAAGAACGACGTTGATTTGATTTTGGTGAAGATTGACCGCCATATTAGAGATGCCAATGTTCTTTTTACTTATCCAATATATATATTAGAGATGCCGATGTTCTCATCAAGAGTAAAGTCCTTCATGACGTCACCGTTTTTAGGGTTATTCCAGTGGTAACGTGACTATTGGATTCGAGTTCCTCGACAAAGATCAAAGAAAAGGCGGACATTTATACTACTAGGGTTCGGTTGTGATTTAAGTAAACATGTCTTGAATGTTAAAGAATTGTTGCTTCGAAGTCATCTTCTTTGTGTCATTGAATCAAGAAGCATGGGGAATGGGGAACTCTCTCTCTCCAACTCTATTTCTTCCTTTATTTTTTGTCTAGTCCATTTTTATAGAGGTTTAAATATATGTTTTGTATTATGCAAATTACAGTTAATAATGAGTGATTTTTGTGGTTTGCTTTGATCATCATCTCTAGTTTGATCATTTCATGTATGATATTGAATTATAATATTATTTTTATTTCAATGGAAAGTAAACAACTGAGTAAATTTGCAGGTAATACTTATCAGTGTTGGTTACAATGACAAAGTTTCAAGGAAGTGATCTAATTTTTTTTTTTTTTTGGGTAAATAATTTAATTTTGAGGTTCTGCTTGCTGTATTTGGGATGCTTGATTTTTCATTTATAGTCTTGTGGTTTAATTTGTTGGAATTTAAGATAGTTGTATGGAATATGAAAAATAAGTATGAGAGCTAATATGTACCGTTGAAAAGAATTTTTTTAAAAAATTTCAAACTAATGACTAGCCATGGGAATGGTTTGAAGATTGAGAAATTAATGTAAATATTTATAATGAAATTAAACTTATATAGTAGTATAATAAAATGTAACATAAATTTAAAATGAACATGTGATATAGTTGTATATTTGTAGTTTTATAAATCTCAGAAGGTTATCTTTGTCTTTTCATACGTGGGAAGGGAAAATATGTCATTATACAACAAATTTTAACGAAAAGTTAATGTTGGAGGTTGTTGTAATCATGTGCAAAACTTCAAGGGTGGATAGTATAATTAAGTCTAATCTTGACCATCGTTTATAATAAAGACAAAATTCAGGGGGTGTGAGTGTAATTTATCCATTATAAATATTATATATACTTAAATCACATGTACAGGGATCTAGTGTTTCACATAACAATACATTCATCTAAATTATAAAACAAAATAAGTATCTTACTTCACTTCCAAGTCGTCGACTCCAATGAAAACTCTTATAGCATGATTCCACTGACAAAAACTCTTCAATTTTACTGGATTAGGTTAATCACAAGAGTATGTATCTTCAATTTTATGTATGAGAAAATTATCCTACTGGCATAAACTTTTCGATTTCGATGGGTTAAAGGATTGCAAGTTTCACTAAGTCGATGATAGTGTTATTTGATTTCGTGTGAGAGAACATGAGATGAGAATGAGAGATCAGTGAATGAGAGATCAGTGTAAGAGGCAAGTGTTTTTCAGGTTGTGTGTTGATCGTCAATACAAAATGACTGTCATTTTGTTCAATGGCATTATGTAATTTCACCTTTCTTGAGTTTTTTTTTTCCTTTTTTACAAAGCGTAAAAAAATAATTTTACAATTATATTATGGTAGTGGAAGGGTTTTGCAACATTTATAGTTTGGAAAGGATATAACAAATCATGTATTATCTAGGATGTTTTGCAATTTATCCCATCTAAAAATACTATATTTATATCCTAAATATCCAGGAGAAAGTAAGAGTTTGCAAGATGACATTCTATATTAAGTTGGAAAAATGACATTTATACCCTTCCTTGGGGTTTATTTCCTTTTGCTTTTCAAGTTTTCACTATGCTCATGTGACATGTGCACAATGCCCCAAAGTTTCTCCCCATCACAACATACATGCACTCTACCATCAATCCTACATGTTCACGTTGCTTCTAGTGTAAGCAAAGGGAGAGAGAGGAAGAGGGTTCTGTAGTGTGTGCTACCTCAAAAGAAGAGGAAGATAAGTTGGCAGAGCATATGAGCAAGGTCAATAATGTCATGAAAATTTTCAAAATTAAACTGCAATTTCATGAAAACTCAAGGGTCCTTTTGTAAATTTACGCAATCCAATCCACTTAAGGGTGTGTTTAGTAACCCAAAACATTTTTTGTTTTCTGTTGTCAATCCTTAAAAAGGAGAAACAAACACAAAAATCATGTTTAGTAATTTGTTTTTGTTTCCTCTTAATGAAAAACATTTCTCATTTTTATGAAAGAAAGAGAAAACATCAAAATGATGTTTCCTGTATTTTTTCACGAGGAAACGTTTTCACTACTGTTTTCCTCATTTTTTACGCAACAACTGACATTACTCTTCCATTAATACACAACCACTGACATTACTCCATTAATACTTTTATATTATATATATATACATTATACAAAATCTATTTTTATATTATATATATATACATTATACAACTGTACTGTATTTAATATTGGTTGTGGTTTGTTTTCAAATTTTTTTGTTAATATATATGTATATATAAAATCTATTTTTATATTCTATATATATATATATTATACAATTGTACGCTTATCTTGCCCTATATATATATATATATATTCCTTTTTAGAATATGTCTTTTATTGTGATTGAAAGTTAGATTTTGATAGATGGATGAAAAAATAAATTAAAAAAATTTCAAAAAAAAAAAAAAAAATTTTGTAACAATTGTTTTACTAAACATTACTTTTTGTTTTTTGTTATTAAAATTATGACAACAGCAAAAGTTACTAAACGTTATTTTTGCTTTTTGTTTGTACTTTGAAAAATAAAATTATGTTTTTATTTCTTTGCGACTATAAAAATATAAGACGAAAATGTTACTAAACGCATCCAAAATTACTAACACCATCCCTACTTTTTCTTTTGTTTTAGGGTTTTTCATACGGGATATGATAAAAAAGGGCTTTGCGGTGTGGTTTAGTGGGGATGAGGTCAATAGTGTCATTGAACGTTAAATCTTGTAATTCCATGAAGATATAAGGGTATTTCTGTAAAATTATACAACCCAATCCACTTAAATTACCATTATCCCTCCTTTTTTTTTTTTATTTTCACCACCATTTGATTTAACATTTAGCAGTTAGGGTTACGGAAGAGGGAACGCCATACCTAGCCACGACCAACCCACGCACGACACGTTAGCCCCTTCACAGTGCTCAAACCGTTTGAGTCGAACCAATCCTTGTATCGAAACGCCGCGTTTTTGTACCGATAACCTAACCTGCACAGTACGTGGCGCAATACGCACCCTTAGAGAAAAGGAAATTGGACAGAAGGAATTATTATCATCACAAAATTCACAACAAGAAGCTCGTCATTATATCAACGCGTGTATGACACGAAGCCAAATTACAGGGTTAAATTGTCATTTCAAGTCTATTGTGACTGGGTCGCGCGTGGGGAATAATGGTACCGAACTCGTCCAAGAGTGAATTAGGGTTGGACATGAAACCGTACATCCCACGCAGTTCACTAACGTAAGCCGTTGGTGACACCTTCTTAATCTACACCCACCACTTTTTTTTTTTCATCCGCTCTATTGCCCCTCACTTATATTCACCCTCCATTTGGCTTCGCGTTCTCTTTCCTCTCCTTCTAGCAGTCAATCGAACCACCGAAAAAGGGCTTTCTTTGGCGTTTCTCTTTCTCTCTCTATATCAATCCCTAATTTTCTCTCTTTCTCTCTCTACCGGATCATCCATGGCTGACAAGTCCGACTTCGATTCTCGCTCCAACCAGATCTCCAAAGGTAACACACACTCTCTCTCCATCACCTGACTTCAATCTCCTTGTCGATTTTCTAATTCTGGGGCAAGTACTTCGATTTTCAGACGAAGTGATTGGGTTTTGTTTTTAAAACCCTAATTTATTGTAGATATATTGGAGCTATAGTGTCTTCGTTTGTTTGTCCGCTTGACCATTATAGTGGGTTTAGTTATTTCTTTTGGCTGATTAATCCTCCGTTTGGTTCCTGGAGGTGTGAGAGATAAAGAAAAGGAAATGCTTCCATGTTTTCTTGCATTTTATTGTTCATGTCTTACTTTTTTTTTGCTTAATGGAGTTTAGAAGTTTTGTACTTCTTCTTGATTTGAACAGTTATTATCTATACTGGGGTTTTCTTCCGTCTTAAAATCCTTTTTTTTTGTATATATATGTGTGAATTTTTTTTGGTGTCCATTAAGGAAGTGGCAGTTAGTTGGATATCTTTGTATTGTCTCATACATGTGTATTTTTGATTTGGTGCTACAGCAGTATTGTGCAGTTAGTTGGATATCTTTGTATTGTCATACATGTGTATTTTTGGTCTGGTGCATTAATTTTTTTTATTTATTGGAGTTACTTTTCGAGTCTCTGCACCTAGAGTATGCTTTTATGAAGGTTATAACAGAGACTTTTGTTTATTTTAATACATTTGGGGTTACTGTTTTTGCACCATATTTTGAATGATATTAGTGTTTTACTCGACCTATCATCTCGGTGATTTGTCTTTTGACGAATTGTTATAGTGATAAATTTGTGGCTATATATAGCTGGATTAATCAACTATGGGCAAACTTTTATATGAAAGCTATACCATTCCCTATTGGCTTTGTATATGTGGAGGTAACCACCATTGCCTTAATCTGTTTTGCTGATTTTTGAGTTATTTCAATAACGGGCGGGCGAGTATAGTGTTATATGCACATGCTTTGCATACTTGGATGAATTTAGTGTAATGCCATGAGAAAAGATTTGGGGGTTTGGCTTGATATTGTAAAAGGGTTAATATCGAAAAAGGATTAACGCAACTCGTGGCTAGTACTTGTTTTAATTGGAATGAGAGAGAAGTTAAAATACAGAATACGGAGCTAAGCCTTCATTTTGGTAGTTCAGATATATGGGCTGTTACTGATTTGGGCTGGCTATCGGTACTTGGTGTTATGCTGAGACATTTTTGACGCATAATTGGATAAGAGAGGTGCTGCATCATTCACTCTTTTTGATTTTTTTCTTTTGAATATTATCCTTCTCCTTGAATATGAGCCCAGACATTTTTCGTTAGGTTTTTTTGCATATTGTCATTGCGAATTTTGTTAGAACAGAGTACTTTTTTTTTAGTTTGAAAATTTGCCCTCTGATTATTTGGACCCTCTGATTACTTATGGGAGTGTGCATGAATATTACTCAGAAGTTGGATCTAAATTCAATGTTTTGAAGCTTAGTTGTTGAAGGTAAATGATGACTTGGTGAAGATTAATTATGGTGTTCAAAAGTTTGATACTTTGTTTTTAATGTTGTTTAATATTGTTGCATGAGAAATAGTACTAAAATATTCCATAAAGCATTATGAACTTTATTGATTTTATTTGCTTATATTTTCTTCCTATAATTGAAATGGGAAAGATAGTGTTACTTATCGTGCATTGTTGCGCATATATATATTTATAATATGCTATAATGTAAGCATATTTGGAATCTTGCTGATGTCTCTTTGTGCACTTTTTTGAGCCAAACTCTGCAATATTTGAAGCATTCTTGTGATCAAAGTTCAAAGTCTTTGGCCTTTTCTTTTCATTTTTATTTTTCTAAGTTCACTTTTTAGTAGTGATACAAGGCTCAATAATGTCAGTGCTGGAACAATAATGGCATCTAAGAAGCCCTTTTAATTTGTATATTGGTTTTGGAGTACCCTTGTATTGCAAAGTTGTGAGAAAGCAAGCAGCATTGTGTTTATGTTGGGTGCCTGCCTCCTTGTGTCAGACGTGCTTTTTATGATATCATGCTCTTCTCCACAAGTTCGTTCGGTACTAGCCATCTAGGGTAACCGGCCATGAGAATCATTTAATTTCCATTGAATGACTAGACCTCCTCCGGCTCTTTCATCTGTTTAGGCCCCCTTCGCCCCATATGCTTTTTTGTGATGGTTAGTTTGAGAGGGGATGTTTCAACTTCATCAGGAGTGCATGCTGAATTCGTTAAATTTTGCTATATGAATGAGTTTGCTGCTTGATGAAAACAAGTTCCTATGAAAAATGACCCAGAGTTTTGTGGTTGCAGTGTTCATATATTGCAATGATTTATTTTCAGTATTTGTATATTAACCCCCAGGATCTGTGGATGTACTTACTGGTTTTTTTGGTGATCTACTTATGTCTTACTGATTCTCCTTCATGTGCTTCAGTGGTGGTTATGGTCCAATAGTTCATATACTTTGACTATGATAATCAGGTTCCTGGATATTATATATATATATATACTTTGGGAATGAGTGAAAATTGTGTGTACCTTGAGCTGCCTTTATGGCATGTAATTTCAGCTTTATGTGCAAATCAATACCGTTATGTATCCTTGGACTTGCTTTGATATGTTTGTTCTGTTTTGCCATTTGTAATGATGAGAGATTATTGTAGCAAGTGAAGTAAATGTACCGCAATGTGATGTTGCGGAATAAAGAGGATAGGGAAGTGAGGGCATACTTAGAGCGTCCAGTCTAATTAGTTTTGGAGAAACAAGAGCAAGTTTATGCTAAGGTTCTGTTTGATAACTCAATTCAGCGCTTAATTCTGAATGGATTGAGGGCTTATCCAATTACGTGCGTTTTGATAATGCAATTTGAATATCACTGAAAATCTTAAGCGTCACTTAGAATAGGGTAAAATTATAAGTGACAAGGACATCACTTAATGTTGAACTTTAAAAATTCAAAAAGATATAAAAAGTATTTATTTTTTAATTAACGCTCGAAAACTTCAGCACTTAAAATTCAGCTCTCAAAATTTCTAGTGCTTAATTTTTAGATTTATCAAATAACACCTAAATAAGTTGAGAAATTCAGTGCTTCCTAATAGTAAAACATCTAGTTGTAGAAAATGGGTAGTTGAGATACATAGTAAAATGAATAAATTGCGATTTTACTTTTTTAGCATAAGTATAGAAAAAATGAAGAGCTGCATAAATCAGGAAAAACAAATATAATCTTTCTTCTTTTCATGTTTTGAATCAAGCAATTGTATCTATGTGTTAGTATCCGGCTCAAAAGATAAGCTGTTAGGGAAATAAACTTACTCCTTCCATCCCAAAATGAATGTCCCTTTTGGGAACTCCAACTTGTTGAGGGACATGCATTTCTCCCTTTGAAATTCCAAAACTAGCTATCTAATTGTGTAAGGATATATATCATTAAATGTTAATTGAGGTAAGTTTTCAGAAGTCGAGGTTAATTTGGGAAAATTTAATTTTTTGCCCATTGACTTTTCAAATGGGGCGGTTATTTTGGGACATCCCAAAGAGGAAATAAGGACACTTATTTTGGGATGGAGGGACATTTTTGTAGAGTCCACATGTATGCCAACAAGGTTTAGAATAGGATTCTTGTTATTCAATTGCCGTGGGTAGCATTCAATTGTAAAACCAAAAGGATCTCAGTCGGCAACCATTAAATTTGCATGTTATTTGGTGTCGGTTCTAGTTCTTGAGTTTGTAAAGATTGTTGGTGCATAAGTACAAACTCTAGTAAATTAGCTTTTCCCCCTAATGGATCAAGACTTATCTGTGGTAAATTGTTGTGGTGATTCATCCTAAAGCATCAAGGCTTTTCCGTGATAAATTGACATTTCTAATTACTTGGCAAATTTATATTTGTTTGAGTATGTAAATAAATCGTGAATATGGTCCAAGTTAAAGCATCAGAGCTTTTCCATGATAAATTGACATTTCTAATTACTTGGCAAATTTATTTATGTTTGATTATGTAAATAAATTGCGAGTATGGTCCAAGTAATAAATGCAGTATGTAAATAAATCGACATTTCTATTTACTTGGCAAATTTTTATTTGTTTGAGTATCTAAATAAATCGCTAATATGGTCCAAGTAATAAATGCAGTGTTTTATCATTGAGTCTTGTTGGATTTTCAAATTGTTTGTATTTAGTATAAAATTCAGTATCATCTAATGATTATAGCCTAAAATATAGGGGACCAAGCTGTGGTGTGGGTATGTGTAAGTTACATTTTTTTTTTTTACTACTGAGTAATATGCTCCACGTATTGATGCTGTTCGGAAGGTGGGATTTGGCGCAACGGTAAAGTTGCTTAATTGTGATCAGGAGGTCGTGGTTTCGAAATGGAGACAACTTCTCTGCATGTAGAGGTAAGGTTGCGTACATCTGACCCTCCCTGTGATTCTATTCGGATGTAGGGTCTTGGCGCAACGGTAAAGCTGCTCCATTGTGATGTTGAGGTCATGTGTTCGAAATGGAGACGACTTCTCTGCATGTAGAGAGGTAAGGCTGCGTACATCTGACCCTCCCTTCGATTCTACTCGCGCAATGGTAACGTTGCTCCATTGTGACGTAGAGGTCATGGGTCCAAAATGGGAAACCTCTCCACACATGGAGGTTAGGCTACCTACGTCTAACCCTCCCCAAACCCCGCAGTGGCAGGAGCTTCATCCACTAGGCTAGTCCTTTTTATATTGATTATGTTTGTCAATCAAGGTTGCATCCACAAGTAAATTTGTGATAACAATCTTTTAGCAGTTTGTAAGTGTGGATATGCATTTATGGATGTTGCTGAAGGGATATTTTCATGCATTCCACATTTTTTTATTGGAATCTATTACACAAGAAAAACATATTCACAGTTCAATTTAGGTGTGATCTGTCAAATTGTTGGATTTTAGGTTTGAAACTGTACAGATCCAACTTGATGCAATTGAATTTGATACATGTTCCTTTCTTGTGATAATTCTATCAAAATAATATTGTTGATTAATAGTGCAGCAATGGCAATGAAGAAGCTGACACTTGCTACAAACCGCTAATGGTACATACATGTTTATGAAATTAGGATATAATATTGAAGACAGAGGCTGGAAATGTGATCTACAAATATATTGGTAAACAGAATAGGTTGATATGTTAACAGTTACCATTGAATCTAAAAAAAATCCTGATAAGCATGTCTGTCAAGTTATGTAGGAGGTATCAATAAAACGTGAAAAATCTAGAGTTGTGTGTGGAATAGAGGGATGAAGATTCTATAGTGTGTCAAAGTTATGTTAGGACTTGGAGGTATTAATAAAATATGTGTATCAAGTTATTTTTGTGATGGGGTATAACAAACGTGGAGGGTTTTTATTGTTGTTATTATAATTCTTTGACGAAACCATAGTGCATCTATGGTTGGTGTTGGATGTTGCCTCTACCGCCTAAGTCTACCTTCTCTCATTTTCTCATTAATAGGCGCCACACTTAATTTCTCCCTAATCCTTTGATTATTAATATTAAGTTTCCTAGAATCCATCTTAACATCCGCATTCCGCCACATGGATGCATTGTTCATGTTTCTTTTATAACTCCCAATATTCCGCTCCATATAGAATAGACGGTCTAATGATTTTTCTATATAATTTTCCTTTTAACGTACTTGGTATTAGTACAATTACAATTTTTTGTTCAATCCCGGGTTTTGATTACATCAAATTTTGTAAAGAGAGTTTAGAAATTCTAGTCTATCTCTCTCTCTCTCTCCTCAAATGAGAAAATTTTGTTCAATTGAAGCAAATGCTATGCTGCTATATCCATGTTTGTTTGAAAGGGAGGACTTTCTTTTATTTATCGGCCCAAAAAAAAGAGTAGCCTCTTGATCGATTGGATCGAAATACGAAGGGGTTGATTGAAGTGTAAGATCAACTCATGATTAAGGCCGAGTAACTAGCTACTGCAGGATGGGACGTCTATCTTACCATGCCCTAGTATTCCAAATTTCAGTTACAGTAGTGATAAATTTCTCATCATCAGCCATGAAATTAAAGAATTTAAATGGCTTCTTAGTCTTCTCTATAGGCAATCCACCCTACTCCTATAAAGGCCAGCAGAAGAAATGCTATGCTCATCGTTTTACAGCTTGTTACCACAATGCTTGTTCACCCCTTCAGCTTCAATTAAAAAAGGTAGTGTCTTTTTCCTATTCTTATTGGTAATGTCTTGAACTAACTATTCTGACATGTTGGAACATGACCCTGACAGTGTGAAGGAATGCGGGGTCCCAGGAACTGCAGGAAGTACAAATACTTTCCCAAGGTGGCTGTGGTAGTATCGGACAATTGTAACATACAGATACGCGCTAGATATGGCCGAACGCATCTCTAATATGGCTGAGAAGTATTCTATTTTTTTTTTTTTTTTTGCTATTTAACTATATATATATATATATATACCTATAAAATTGGGTACCCTTGGGATACATTGGGGGTACTTTTGGGATATGGATGGATGCTTTTTGGATACGTCAAGGCATTTTTTTTAATTTTTTTTATTAAAAAACTGAGTTCGGATTGTAAATACTAAAAGGCTCACAGGTTAATAGTTGATAAAACAGAATCGTTTAAAAGCCCAATTCAATTTCTTGCTTGGAAGATTATTAACGCAGATTGCAGACTACAGAAAGAGAGGAGATCTCAGTCCTACTCTTTTTTCTTTATAATCTGGCTACTATTCTGAATCTTATGTATATATATGTACACAGCTATACATTTATGCATACGTGGCTATATATCTATGCATACATAGCTATATATATATGCATAGCTATACATAGCTATAGAGGGTTTTGGAGCCTCTTTTCCTCAAGATGGAGACAGACTTGGGTGCACCCGGCGCACCTTGCACCGAGCTCATCCGAGCCGTAAATGTGTACGCGCAGGTGCGTGTTGTGCACGTGTGGCTCTGATGAGCTGGTGCACCCGGCGCACCTTGCACCGATCTCATCCGAGCCGTAAATGTGTACGCGCAGGTGCGTGTTGTGCACGTGTGGCTCTGATGAGCCGGTGCACCCAGGTTCTTCTCCTCAAGATGGGTCAAATACTTGATAAGTTTTTATTTTTTTTTTATATGTTTATTTGTGTTTTTTGATTTTTTATTTATGCTCAACTGTCTTTTCTTTGGAAAATTAGTGATATGGTGAGTTCTAGTGGTGGGTTTGAATATTGTAGAAAACCGATCAATTATTATTATTTTTTTATTGTATATAAAAATATAATGCATTATTTTTTTATTGGCATATCCTAGCTGTACTTGTATCTTGTTTTTGAAATTTTCGTATCGCCTTATCCGTGTTGTATCCGTATTTGTGCTTCTTAGTTGGGGTTATGTTGCCTTCAAGAGTAATAAAGCCTCAAAAGCTGATTTTGGACAAATCTTTCTCATATGTTTTTGAGGCGCTGGAAAAATACATCTCTTAGGCTTTCGATGTGGGTCTTGATGTGACTTCAGTGCAAAAGATTGTTTCGTCAAGCAAATCTTCTTGCAGTTTGGAGGTCTCTTCACAAACGATGCGCTTCTAAGAAATCTGCCGGTGCCTCGCATTTTGGGGCATGGACATTATGTCATTAAAGTCGTATGAATACATCCTTGATTTATTTGAAGCGCTTTAAGGACTCTTTTCCTTATAGGAGGGTATAATCTATTTCGTTGTGGGTCATTTGATTTTCTATTGCTGTTTTTATGAGCTACAGTATTATTAATGTAGTCTTGCAAGAGCAAATCTGTTATTTGCTATTTGCACCGAAGGCATATTTCTTATCTGGCCCTACTTATAAAAAAAAAAAAACTCTTATCTGGCCCTCCATTTTTCATGGAATGGATAAAGGTCTGACCTTTCTTTCTAGAAGCAGTAGTATCAGAAGCAATAGGAAGGACTGAGTGACTCACGGAAGATAGTTCTTGATGTTGTATTCTTTTCTCTATGACGTAAACGTATTGTTGTAGTTCATTAGCTATTGTGATTTGTAGATTTTTGATTCTTAGGTAACTTAGGTTGAGAAAGAATAATATTAGTCTTATAATAGAGTCCATATATAAGAAGTACATAATTATTATTCTGTGTCTTGCTGTGTCCATATTTTACCTTTTTCGGATTTGTAATTTCTCCGTGTCTGTGTTGTGTTGTGTTGTATTCATTTTCCATATCTGTCTGTTATTTGTCCATGTTGACATATGGCTGTAGGGCCATGCCATGCATGTCATAGCCTAAAAGTGATGAATGGATTCTTTAACCGCCCATAAGTTTATACGCGATTTCTTGGAATCACTATTTATTTGCATGCTTGATAGAAAAATCCTTTTTAGCTGTTCTTGGTTTATTCTGGTTGGTAATGATAAGTAAATTTACACCTATACTTGACATATCACAGCCTAAAAGAAATGAACAGATTCTTTGCGCTTATATAAGCTTATACATAAATTTATTGGGAATATAATGCATTTGCTTTCATTGTGGCGGCTTATTGAAGTTTTTCAAATAAATTCAAAGTTCGGTTTCATTCTAAAAATATATATATTCCCACGCACTGAATCTTAATTTTTTTGTCCATTTTTGTCATAAACAATTGCCAGATTTGATGATTTATATCCATTATATATAGAAGTGGCTGTGTTTCTTATTCGTGATACCCTTTTTTACCTTCTCTCTTTTATTTATTTTTGTCTCCATCCCTCAAATTTGTCATATACTTTACCTTATTTAATAACCCGTTTCTATCTCAAAACACTCCTTCAAATCCTCTGTCTCCTTTAGAACCTGCATCACCTGTTCTCTATCTTGTGCGCAAGTATACTATGTGAGGTTATGTATCAGGTGTTTATTGGATTCTTTGGTAATTATGCCTATAGGATTTACTTATTTGGAAGAGTAAATGTCATCTAATTTGGTCTGCTTTCTAGTTTTAATAAAGACTCATATTTGGTTGATTTTCCATGTATTTTGTTGATAATGGTGCGAGTTCTTAGTTACTTTTAAATTAAAAAAGTTACTTGACGAATGGTCCGTGGGTTCTATATTTGTAATGTGTAAGCTACTATTTCCTTTCTCTTTTTTCGCTTATTCATTTCTCATTTCTTCTTTTATTACTCCCATCCTTTTTCTTTCTTTGATTTAATGTTTATGCCTTCTCTGTCTTAAGAAAATTGTTTTTCCCACATTCTTTATTATTTGAGTTGATCGAGCTGGCTATAGTTGCAAATCCTTATTTTATTTTATTTTATTTGACAACCCATGCTATTGAAAGTAGATTTGTGTTTGTTGGTTGGCATATATTACCACTTCAAGAGACTTATGATGTATCTTACCTTTTGCTGAGATTCCTAGCGAGTTGTTTGAGATGAATATAGTTGCAATGCATTCTTTTTCCTCCTTTTTGACATGTCAAGCTGTTGAAAATTCGATATGTAATAGTAGAACACTGCAACTTCTGTTGTTTCTGCTTTAGAAGAAGATTAGAACTTCTTTAATGATTAATTATATAGTTCACTGATCCAAAATAAAGAAAGTGGGTTCTCTTATTCTGTTGCCGAATCAAGTAGGTACATATCCTCGCTTCTTGATCTCTTGTGAAAGTTAAACAACACAACCAATTAGCAGTATAGTCATTATGATTTATGCTTCATATATGCTTCGATATTATTTTTCTTTCTTTCGTTAATTTTGTCTCACGTGGAAATAACAGAGACTTCCAATTTTCTCTTATTTTGAACATGGTTATTTATGGGAATGCAAAAACAGTTGTCAATTTACTTTCTCAATTTACCTGATCCAGTTCAACTGATGTTTGAAAAATCTATCATCTGTTCTTGTGGCATTCTTAGTCAGTGCAATAGCAATGTCTCTTTCCTTCTAATTTTTGCTCTGGATATTTTGCAAAGGATTAATTCTCTCTATTTATGTAGATGTGCAAGGATCTGACAATCCTATTCCGCTGTCACCACAGTGGCTTCTGCCAAAACCAGGGGAGAATAAGCCCGGACATTTAACTGGGGTGTGTTATCATTTACTCCCGTTTTTCTCTTATCTGATTCACATTTATAGTGTTCCTTTTCAATAATCTATTTTGGGGATCAATTTCTTGATAATTATATTTTTTACTCATTTAGGATAACCTACCCCTTCGTTGTCAGATTTTCCTTTTTATTTTTAATTTTTTTAACCTGCAACAATTTTTATACTGCATTGGAAATTCTACCCTTTTTTTGTTCTATATACAGGAGAACCATTTCAACTCGCATATGGGTTATTCCAGTCGTTCAGATGTGATGAAGTCATCAGGAAACAGTGAGGAGGTGAATGATACTCAAAAGAAGGATGTTTTCCGGCCAACTGTGCTTGACATGGATTCTGGTCGCCGTGACCGATGGCGTGATGAAGAAAGAGACACCAATTCCTCCGTTCGCAGGGATCGTTGGAGGGATGGAGATAAAGAGTTTAGTGATACCCGCAAGGTGGATCGGTGGACAGAGAACTCATCTGCACGGCATTTTGGAGAAACACGCCGTCCCCCATCCGAGCGGTGGACTGATTCAAGTAATAAGGAAACTAACTACGATCAACGTCGTGAGAGCAAATGGAACACGCGCTGGGGACCGGATGATAAAGAGACAGATAGTTTGCGTGAGAAGTGGATTGACCCTAGCAGAGATGCTGACATGCCACTTGAGAAAGGGTTATCTCATCTTACTCATCATGGGAAGGATGAGAAGGAGGGGGATCATTATCGGCCATGGAGATATAACTCCTCACACAGCCGAGGAAGGGTGGAACCTCCTCATCATCAATCTTTAACGCCAACCAAACAGGTTCCTACATTTTCCTATGGTCGGGGACGTGGGGATAATACTGGTTCTACATTTTCACATGGACGGGGAAGGGTTGGCTCTGGTGGAGTCTCTATGAACAATATTTCTATTAATACTCACTCTTCTGGATTGAATTCAGAAAAAGGTGAAAGTGGCCATATAGATCCTTCCCCGTTAAGATATAGCAGGACAAAGTTACTTGATGTTTACAGGATGACTGATATGAAGTCGTCTGAAAAAATATTGAATGGGGTCATGCAAGTGCCTTCCCTTACACAGGAAGAACCATTAGAGCCTCTGGCATTTTGTGCACCTACTCACGAGGAACTGGTATTCGCACTTACTATTTATTTTTGGGGAGGTTTGTTGGTATTAGTGGAGGTATAATTAATTTCTTTTTCTGTATGATAGTTTATTTTGAAGGGAATTGACAAAGGAGACGTAATAAGTAGTGGTGCAACCCAGAATTCTAAGGATGGATCTGTTGGACGGAATTCAAATGATGCTGTGCAATCAAGAAGGGGCAAGATTGGTAATGCTTGTTTCTGAGTTGCACTTTATCCTGTATATGCATGCACTTAACTGTGTGATTTTTACTTTTATACCTGACTTGCCTCAGGTAGTAGAGAAGATTTACCACTTGCTGTTGATGATTATAAAGATGAAACAGTTGACAGTTCAAAAGGCGGTCATTTAAATTACCCAGAGCGCTTGTCCCATGAGAAGCAGATGACTTCTCACAGGTCTGATGCAAAAATAGAATTGACGCAGGACCATCAGTTGTACACTGGTTATAAACTAAATCTTGAAGGTACATAGAAATAGAAATTGCGTAGAAACTCAATTCCTTCTGCAATTCTTATTATGCTATGCGGGATGGTCAGAAAACCAAATGATAGGCTGGAAGAAAGTGATATCTTGATTGAAGTTCAATTCACGAGATTGTCAATATATCTCAACATATGAATTGTCTTATAAAATGAATGATCTAAAAGAGAGTAGTAAATAGTTATGATCTTCTGGTTCTTGGTTCTGGATTTTGTTGGCTAAGTTGTATTTAATTATCTTGGTTCTCTATGTGCGATATTGGAGTGTGATGATGAGAACTGTTGTCTTGATTTGTTCATTGGAAGATGTCGCCTTTTATTCCTGTTTAGAATGTTTATTTTTGAAATATGTTTCTATAATCCACTCTGTTGCCTGCAGCTTCGAGAGAAGATGGTGCTGGGTATAGGACTGATGAGGTGCCCATCAATAGGGAGTCCACCATGCAGGTGAATTCCTCTGGTCATCCTGGCACTACGTGGCAGTCTCCATCAATGGTAGAACGGATGCATTCAACCTCACATGATTGGAAAGAGATTCCAACTGATGTCAGGTCGAGAACCTCTGACATTGGCTGGTCACAATCACAGAAGGATCTAAATAGTGAATGGGAAGCTGGTTTGTCAAGACCATCTTTTTCCAAAGATGAATTTAAATGGAAAACTGGCCAGGACTCATTTCTTCAAAGGCAGCCATCTACGTTACTGGAAAGGGAACAGGAAAGCCGGAAAATTTCACAGCCTTCCCCAGAAGACCTAATTCTTTGCTATAAAGATCCACAGGGTGAAATTCAAGGCCCTTTTACTGGGAGTGATATCATTGGATGGTTTGAGGCTGGATATTTTGGAATAGATTTGCTAGTTCGCCTTAAAGATGCACCCCGTGACTCACCATTTTCATTGCTTGGTGATGTTATGCCCCACTTACGAGCGAAAGCCCGACCACCACCCGGATTTTGTTCACCAAAACAAAATGAAGTTACGGATGTATCAAGTAGGTCAAACCTCAGTGGTTTTGGAAAGCTTTCTGCAGGTACAAGTGAGTTTGATATGCTGAAGCACGATCCGAGATATAAACATAATCCAATGACAGAAGCTGAAAATAGGTTTTTGGAGTCACTGATGTCTGGCAATACGAGCAGTTCTCCTCTCGAGAATTTTGCTTTCTCTGAAGGTTGGTTTTAAATCATGAGGGGATTCTGCCCACTTGCCTTCCATCTTTCTATGCTTAATTCTTTGGTCATTGTGAGGTTCTGTGGGTGCCTAGATCTGACTTAGTGTTGTTGCTTTGCAGGTATGCAGGGATATGTTGGAAACAATTCTAGTGGTATGACCCCCTTGGGACCAGAAAGTGGAGACAATCTATATCTCTTGGCCAAGAGAATGTCACTTGAATCGCAGAGGTCTGTGCCAAATTCCTATCAATATTGGCCTGGGAGGGATGCAGCATCTATGGTTCCAACTTCAGATATTGTCCAGGAGTCCATAAAGCCACATTCAACACTGCTATCTTCTGTTGTTGACAATCCTCATCCTCATCCTCATCCTCGTCTGCAGTCTCATTCTCAGAATGTGGACTTGATGTCTGTCCTTCAAGGATTACCTGACAGGTCTACATCTGGTGTCAATAATGGAGTTAGTGGGTGGCCCAATATATCAGTTCAAGGCGGTATGGACACCCTTCAGGATAAGTTGGACTCTCATCGTGGCCAGAGTTTTCCTCCCCAAGCTGCTTTTGCGATCCAAAAACAGAGGCTGCAACAACAGAACCAACCCTCTTTAACGAATTTACTAGGTCAAACTATAGAAAATACTTCCAACATTTTAACCCCTGAGCTGCTCCCTCCTGGTCTATCTCAGGATCCTCAGTTATTAGCTTTGCTACAACAGCAATACCTTTTGCAGTTACATTCCCAGGCACCAGTTCCGTCACAGCAAATGTCACTATTGGATAAACTCTTGTTGCTTAAGCAGCAGCAGAAACAGGAGCAGCAGCAACAGTTATTGCGACAGCAACAGCAATTGCTTTCTCAGGTTCTGTCGGATCATCATCCTCCCCAGCCCTTTGGCGAGCCATCTTATGGACAGTTACAGGGTGCTTCACTGACTGCTGGGAATGCTTCTGTGAATCATCCTCGGTTTCAGCCATCACAGGAGCTGTTTCAGACTGGTTTACAAATACCAGTTCCCAATATTCAAGATGAACTTACTAACTATGTAAATTTGCCTACTAGTGTTTCCCAGGATGTTGGTCTTAATGCATGTTCTGAAGCATCTTCTATAGATTTGCCACATCAAATGTTTGGGAGTGCCACCATCCATCAACAAAGCTGGGGTGCTGCTCTGCCAGAACAAATTGATGACATTCAGCAGAAGGATTCTTTAGTGGCGTCAACTGTGATGGATAACTTACCCCGAATGGAGTTGGCAGACAAATCTTCACAGGGGCAGACATTACAAGACAATTTGAGAAGTATTGAACATGTAGCAGTCACATCCTCCGAGGCTGCTATAGATTTTGTGCCTGTTGCTGTACCACCCGCAGAAACCAGTGAGAATGATCTTTTAGTGTCTGAGCAAGTAAATGACTTGAAGACAACACCAGATGGTTCTCTAGAAGACGCGCAGGTTGAAAGAGAACAATGCAGTGATGAGACCTCCTTGGTGAAAGAACTAAAAAGTGTTGAAGCACGTGAGGTAAGAAAAGCTTCTGAGAAGAAGTCCAGAAAGCAAAAATCTACTAAGGCACAATCCTCCTCAGACCAGGCGAAGGGAGTTTCTAAAACACTCTCTTCGAAGCTATCAAAGTCTTCTGAAAGTGAAGTTCCTATTGTTGCTGACACAAAATTTGAGTTACAGATTACATCTGGGGAATTACTTCATGGGACATCTCCGCAAGAAACAAGAGAGAGCAAATCCTACGTTACTACTTTAGAAAGTGGTGATTCTCAGCATGTCAAGAGCCTATTGCCTACCAGTGCATCGATAAATGATGTTGAAACTGTGGAAATAAAAGGTGAATCAAAACTGGGTTTGTCTGTCTCACAGCTTAACACACAATTACATACAGGACAAGGAGCTTGGAAGCCCGCGCCTGGTTTCAAGCCAAAGTCACTGCTTGAAATTCAACAGGAAGAGCAGAGGAAAGCACAAACAGAAATTGCAATCTCCGAGATCTCTACATCTGTTAACTCCTTGAGTTTTTCAACTCCTTGGGCTGGGGTTGTTGCTAATTCAGATAATAAAACATTTAGAGACATTAAGCAAGATGCAGGTAGTACTGATCTAAATTTAGGACAGTCTGAAAATTCTCTAAACCAAAGGAGCAAGAAAAGCCAATTACATGATCTGTTGGCAGAAGAAGTTTTGGTAAAGTCTAATGATAGAGACATGTCTAATGAAAGAGATGGGGATGTTGTAGATGGTGTATCAAGTCTGCCCTCGGTAACAGTTATGAGCATTCAACCTAGTTCAGTAGATGATGACAACTTTATTGAGGCTAAAGACACTAAAAGAAGTCGCAAAAAGTCGGCAAAAGCTAAGGGAGTTGGAGCTAAGGTCTCAGTACCCAATGCTTCAGTTGATGTGGCTGTTGGATCAAGTTCAATTGAGAAAGGCAAGAGTTCTCGTCAGGCACAGCTGGACAAGGAAGTTTTACCGGCAGTCCCATCTGGTCCTTCTTTTGGAGATTTTGTTCTCTGGAAAGGGGATTCTGCAAACCCTCCCCCTGCTCCGGCGTGGTCAACAGAGTCTGGGAAGGTTTCCAAACCAACATCGTTGAGAGACATTCTTAAAGAACAAGAAAAAAAGGTTTCTTCTTCTTCTATTCAGCAACAAACCCCGGCGCCAGCTCTTCAGAAGTCCCAGCAAACTCAGTCCGTCCGAAGTGGTCCTTCATGGTCACTTTCTACATCATCTCCAGCGAAAGCTGCAACTCGCACCCAGAATGTTTCCAATGCTTCTGCTCAAACGAAACATAAAGGAGATGATGATCTATTTTGGGGTCCTTTAGATCAACCAAAGCAAGAATTGAAGCAGTATGACCTCTTATTCTTCTTTCACTATTGTGTCTTTTGATAATTGTTTGGTTATGTTTTTTTTTTCGTTTTTGTTTTAGGTTTAAATCTTTTCACAGCTTTGTTTACATGCTCGTTATTGTTGCTGCTATTACTTGTTTGTCCTTCTGGTGATCCTCAAGTAATCCCTGGAGGACTGCAACCTGTTTCTGTTAGAGCTTTATGGAATAACCACACAATGTATCCCTTAAAATGTTGGCCCAGTCCATACAAACAAATAAACAGGGCAAAATGGCTTGGTTTTGGAAATTAGGTACTCAGGTGTGCTTAAAGTCTTGTTTAGACGTTATCTCAAGATGCCCCGGTTGCTTTGGTCTCAGATAGTCTCAAATTGGGTGCAAACTGGGGAAAACCTGAAGGTTGTTCATCCAAACAAATGCTATGTATATCTTTCTAAAATCAAAGGTACTTTTTGGGTGATGGTTGCCTGGCCTGATCTCCCCCCTACCCCTCCCCCAAACCCCCACAAAGTGAAAAAGGGAAAAAAGAGATCTGAGTGAAGTTACGATATATGGAGGAGAAGACCCTTGGCGGAATGGAGAAAAAAAATCATGTACGCTACCCCAACTAGTTTGATTTTAAGGTTTTTAGTTGAGACTGTAATATTCCAAACACGAGATATATTCTAGAAATGACAATAACTAACTCGGAGTGACATTAATTAGTATGTGAGAGGGAGAGTAGGGATGTGGGAGAAGACCTCTTGGGACATTGATTGATAAGCTGAAGGCGACCTCCGTATTTAAAGAAGCCATGATATTAACAGCTTGATATAAGGTGATGGTGAATATGATACGGAGCTTATAGGAGCAAGCCTCCTAGGAAATTGACTAATAAACCAATGGTGACTTCCATAACTAAAGAAGCCACGATAATTAGTAGATTGATATAAGCTAAAAGGTGATTGTGAATAGGTTATGCAACTTATAAGAGCGAGCCTTTAGGTTCTCTTATGAGTTTGATATTAATGCATGAACTTATACAAGTCTAAGAACAAACTTATTCTTTTTCTGTTGCTGCACTTCTTTAAGGTACATAATTTTGGTTAAATCATCTGTTGCTTTGCTCACATAAGCTGTCTTTCTTCCCTCAGCTTAGTGACCCCTTCAGTGCTGACCATGTCACTCTCATTTTTACTGGTACTACATCACTTGGTGTGTTCGTGTTTTTGTGTGTTTAAATTCTCATATCTTATGATACACATGTTTATTGGTGCTGTGATACTTGGTCTACTTTTACATTCTTCTATCTTATGATATATTGATTCATCTTAAGATATGAAATGATTATTTCAGAATTTTGAATTTTTTTTTAGACTTTGTTGATGCTCAAGATAATCAGATGTTAGAGGCTGTTCGTTTTATAGGACCTGTTATTCCAATAAGTTGGGTTTTGTTAATGAAAATTGTGAGGCAAAACTAAATGATCATTCTTCAAGCAGGCCGGATTTTCCTCATCTTGCAAGCCAGGGTAGTTGGGGAACAAAAACTACCCCTGTAAAGGGGACTCCAGGAGGTTCGTTGAACAGACAGAAGTCTGTGGGTGGTAGAGCTGCTGAGCGTTCTCTTTCCTCATCTCCTGCTGCTCAGTCTTCCCTTAAAGGGAAAAAAAGTGCAATGACAAAACATTCAGGTATAGCTGTTAGGAAGTTCTTTATGTATTTATCTAAGAATATAATTGACATTCTCTCCTCTTGCAGAGGCCATGGACTTCAGAGATTGGTGTGAGAGTGAATCTGTCAGGCTTATTGGGACAAAAGGTATTATGTTATTACTATTGAGTGTGCATTGCCTATCTGATTATTAGTATTTTTTTTTTGGTAAAAAAATTACCAGTTGTATACACATAAATTTGGTTCCTCTTTTGTGGAAGATCAAAGAAATTCACTTTTGCCCCACTCCTCACCCCACCAACTGAAAATAAAAAATAAAAAACAGAAAAGAAACAATATTATTGAAAAATGTCCTTGGGGATTGTTGATGAATATAATTGGTTCTCTTTAAAATATCGCAAGCAGTTTTGAATAACTAATAGATTTGTCATCGCTATTTTACTACTAAAGATACATGGGTCTTTGTTTTTTGTCTAATCTGATGTTATTTTTCCCCCCCACTAGATACAAGTTTCCTGGAATTTTGTATAAAGCAATCCAGATCGGAGGCTGAGATTCTTCTGAAAGAGAACCTTGGGTCTTTTGATCCAGACCATGAGTTTATTGACAATTTCCTCAACTACAAGGAGTTGTTACCCGCAGATGTCCTCGAAATTGCCTTCCAAAATCGGAATGATCGCAAGGCCACTGAATATGGCGCTGGAGATGTGAGTTCTGACAATGCAGGTTTTGGGGACTCTGACCAAGGTAATCCAATGGCTCCTGATGGATCCATGAAAGGGGGAGGAAAGAAGAAGGGGAAGAAAGGGAAGAAGGTAAGTCCTTCGGTTTTGGGATTTAATGTTGTTAGCAACCGCATCATGATGGGAGAGATTCAGACTGTGGAGGATTAGGTGGTCTGAAGGCAGTTGTACATACATTTGTCTGAAGTACTTTGTAAATGGTTTTTACTTAGGATATTTTGGTTCTCATCCTTTATAGAGCAATAGCAGCAGCACTAATTTAATCTGCTCGAGCAATTTTGTGAAGTAAGACTTTTAACGGTAGAGCCCTTGTTACCATGGTTAAATTCTTCATATCAAGTTTATGTTGTTTCTTTCTTAATTATGTTGGTTTACGTCACATAATTTGTTGTGATGGGATGGAAGAATTCTTGGTCACATGTGAACTTTGGATCTTTCTTGGTTGGTTCGAAGTTATATTCAGTGGTCTTAATGCTTCTTAATTTTTTGCTTACGCTTTGTAGATCCTCCATGTTTCTTGTTTGTTTCTTAGCGAACTTTAAATTAATCAAACGTATACTACATACAAGGGCTGCAAAGATTTTCTATTGACGGATGCTGCCAACGTTGCTCCTCTGGACTGATTTGAAGATTAGGTCTACTCTTTCTCACAACCGTGTATGATGTATGTGATTCCGGTTTTATTATGGTGGGTGGTACTTGAAAGAAAGCTGGGAGGTTTCTGTATCTCCTTGGTTGGCTTCTGAGTTCATACCGAACTCTACATGCATATTCTAATGCCATGGGAGATACGGAAGCTATCTGAAAGGGCCTCATTGAAGTTGTTTGGCTTCTTAGTTCTCACTGAGCTTCTTTCAGCAGAAGTGGCAGTATAAGCTATCGGCTTCAGGGCTAAGTCTGGCCAATCTACTTCAAATGCAAGTTGCCAAAGCTGGCAAAGATTTTGAGTGTTGTCTATGGATTTGAGCATAGGATTCCGTTTCAGTGGGTAGGATTGGGATGAACTTTGTATTAGTCTACAAAGTGGATCATTTTAAGTGAATTAATGTTGCGTTTGGTGCGCTGGAATGGAATGCTCATTTTAACCATTTCTTTGTTTGATATGCAATTTAAAGTGGGAATGGCCATTTCATTAGAATGAAAATTTATTTCACAACTAAACCTATGGAAAGACCATTCCATTCTCAAGTATTTTTTTTTTAAGATCAACTTCCCAAAAAACCATAATGTTTCAAGTCTAAAAATCACCACCCCCTTCCACCACAACCACCTCCGCCTTTCACCACCACCATCGATCGCCATTGACTTTCACCATCGCCCACCACTTTCCACTACCGCAAACGCCTTTCGCCACCGACACTGCATTCTTTTGCCGCAACCACCGCCGCACCACCTTTCACCCACCGACACCGCCTTCTTTTGCTGCAACCACTGTTGCCACCACCTTTCGCCACCGCCACTACCGCCACCGCCTTCCACCACCACCATCGCCATCACCTTCCACCACCATCACTGCCATTGCCTTTCACCACAGCCACCGCCTTCCACCACCACCGCCGCCACCATTTTTCACCACCGCCATTGCCTTACACCACCACCACCACCACCCTCACCCTCCATCACCGCCGCTGCCACCACCACCGATGTTGCCACCACCTTCCACCACTTTCCACCACTTTCCACCACCACCACCTTCCACCACCGCCACCTCCACTGCCTTCCACCACCTTTACAGTTACCTCCATTGGTTTTCACCACCGCCACCTACACTACTATCTTCTTCCACCACCACTACTACAATACTGCCATCGCCTTCCACCACTCCCGCCTTTCACTACCACCGCCTTCCACCATTGCCACCGTTGCAGCCTTCCAACATCACCACCTACACCACTACCGCTTTCCTTCTCCACCGCCACTGCCTTCCACTATTCCACCGCTGCCGCCTCCACCACCATCGTCACCACCATCCGCCACCGCTACTACCACCATTTATTTTTAGAAAATTATAGAAGAATGTCATTTTTGTTAATTTAATTTATTTGTTACTAACAGGGATATTTTGGAGAACTCAATTTGAAATTTATTCCATTTTAAATTCAAAATTGGTTTAACCAAACACTAGAATGGTTATTATTATTCCATTCCTACACATTTCATATTTACAATCAAATAATTGAATGAGAATGATTATTACATTACATCCCCATTTTCATTGCATTCCCACTTACAATCCATTCTATTTCTACACACTAAACACAATATAAGATTCTCTTGGTCCGATCCAATTTTCACGGGAGACTAGTTTTACATGTACTCGAAGGAGACTAATTTTATCCTAAGGCAGTCGGATCCAATATGCATGGGAGACTAGTTTAACCCGTACTCGAAGGAGATTAGTTTTATCCAAAGGTTGACGTTTCATCTCTCAATAACAAAGAAAAGAATGGAAATGGAAATAGAAATAGAAAAGAAAAAGAAAATAAAAAGTAGGTGTTTTTTCTGATGAAAACTGTCTCAACATGGAGAAGATATGCAGTGCGATGTACCAAGTTATAAGTATACCCGACCAATGAAATTACATCATTTTATAAAATTGGTTTCACTTATTTTTAAAAACTGCTTTTAACTTATTGTTATGATGATTTTTATCAGTTGGGGATGCCAATAACATGGTATGCACATTGTTCGGCTCACGAAAAAGCTAGAGAGTTCCGCTTTCTACTCGGGGTGGAAAGGGTTGTCGGGCGTGCTAGAAACTACTGTCGTTTTAAAGTAGATATCCGAACAATTATCCACTAGGAGATTACAGGGATCATGTGACTGTACGAAGGACTGGAATTACCACATTCGAAGGTTCTTTTTGCCTTGAAAAAGGACTTTTGGACTACTCTATGGCTAGTGGAAAGAAAAACGGTATTGAAAGTGCAGGACTTTAAAGTCGAGTACTGGAAAGTAAGAAAGATAAGTGTAGGACTTGAATTAAATATATTGAAAGTGCATTAATGAATGTAAAGAGACATGAAATGTAATTGAAAGATAAGGTGTTGTTTGTTGTGTGTGTTGAACAAGATTTGTAAATAGCTCTAAGTGCTCTATTTATAGAGTTTTCCATGCATGTAGAAGCTTGATATGGCAGCTTCGGTAGCTTCCATTTGTCTTGACTACAAGTGTCCCATGTTCTCTTGACAGTTGTAACTTTCTTCTTCCATCTTTTTCTTCCTTTTATTCCTTCTGAGCATATCTTCAGCCATGTCTTCCATGATTTCAAGTTGTGCATATTTCTGAATTAAGTTTTCTAGTTGTCTTCTTCACAGATTAACATATGTCCCATGTTTCCTTGTTCTTCTACCCTTGCTGTAAATTTCTTTACTCTCTCAGACACAATTTCATTAGCCTTGTTATCCACAATCTTTGATAACTTACTTCAGTTAGTGGTAGTTACCTCTTGAAGCACCACCACTTTCAACTGAAGTGTTTTGTTTAGCCAAGTGTCCCATGTTTTTTGAAACTCCTTCCTTATCAATAATTCCATATATACATGCTGGTCCCTTTCCATGGTTTGAGCGGCTTCACATCGTGGGTTGTATTTGTGGCACAACCCTTTGATTTTAGCGACTTCCTTTCATGGCATCGTGGGCTGTTTCAAATACACACACACACACACACACACACACATATCTTTACACATGCATAAATATATATATTTGTAAATATAAATCAACCTCCACGTCTGCCAACCAGCTTCCTTGATTTTAGCAACTTACTTTCAAACCTTTCTTATCTGGATTTAGAACCCATGGCGCTATGAACTCCTCCATTTCAGCGGTTACTCTGACAGACAAATATATACATATATATGTATGTATATATATATATATATATATATATTTAGAAAAATATATAAACACCCCCCACGCCTTGCTAAATGTTAGCAACAAAAGTTGACTTGGGCTTGGACAATTTGCTGAAGTTCCTTAAAAATAAGGAGAGAATTCAACCCCTACGTTCTCCTTTCTTTGGCTTTGTGTAACTTCCTTCCATTACTTCTTTTGGAAACCAAGAAGTCCTTCCTAAAAGAATTGATAAGCTATAGTAAATCCCATAGTACTTGCCATGTGTTGAAGAACAATCGGTTGGATGAACTGTGATGACCTTGTAGGCGAGTGTGCCGTGGGCGGGTGCGAGACACTGTCAGGCTACCACACTGGCGAGTTACGGGTGCACAGTTCCACATCGCCTGGGTAAAGGAAAGGTGAAGTGCTTATATGTAGATGTGTCACTCCAATTGGTATAAGGCCTTTTGGGGTAAAAGCCCAAGAGCAAAACCGTGCAGGCTCAGACCCAAAGCGGACAATATCATACCATGTGGTGAAGTGAGTCATTACAAATGGTATCAGAGCCTGACCCAGTCGGAAGTGTGCCGATTGAGACGTTGGGCCTTCAAGGGGGGTGGATTGGTGTGCCATGAGCTGGTGCGAGACATTGTCAGGCTACCATACTGGCGAGTTACGGGTGCACAATCCCACATCGCCTGGGTAAAGGAAAGTTGAAGTGCTTATATGTAAGGGTGCCACTCTAATTGGTATGAGACCTTTTGGGGTAAAGCCCAAGAGTAAAACTGTGCGGGTTGGTGTGTCGCTACACCACAAGCTTAAGAGTGTGTGTTAAGGCGAGGGCCAAGTTTTACATTTATAAAAGCCACTACTACCTTCACTAAAAATATAGTTAGGGTGAGTAGGGATCGTCTCAAGGGATTGGAGTTGTACTAACTTGTGGAATCACAGTTAGGGTTAGTAGGTCGAGTGATCAAACAAATGATTGGTTGATTGATTAAACTAGAGAGCAAATTAAACTAAATAATTGAATGCAATAAGGAGTAATTAAGAGAGAGAGAGACTTTGGAGTTTAGAGGTCACCACCAAGCAATGCTTTTTTACACCCTTAACTAGTGACTAATGAGAGAAATGTGTGTTGCAATATTGATGTGTGTGTGTGTTTGGTTGATTCAATTAGTAAGGGTGACCAATTAAGCATACATTGTCTAATCAACATGTGAAAAGCACAATATATCTAGCAATTAAGTATATATTGTCTAAATAGCATGTGAAAAGCACAATATATCTAACAAGTCGTTAATCCTTTCATTAAGCTTACAAGCCAAATACACCATAAGGTTAGAGACATATGCTACTTGCATTCAAAAGTATGGAACATCAAACAACAAGCATAGATTGTCCTCCCATCTAACAACTATGCTACCACTACACTACAATTAAGCTAATGACATGAAATTAAACTAATTAAGCTAAGAGAGAGGCACAATTCATCAAGAAATGAGCATGGACCATCTAGAAAATT